TTGGTGTTAGAAAAGATGGAAAAAATGCTTTTAATTATCTTAAAAAAGCTGCTCATATGGGTGTTGTTGATGGAATATTTCTTCTCGCTAGTTGTTATCATCTCGGATTTGGTGTTAAAAAAGATGAAAATAAGGCGTTCAGACATTATCAAAGGTCGGCTGAAATGGGCAACCCTACTGCTTCATATAATGTTGGTTATTATTATGAAAAAGGAATCAACGTCGAAAAAGATGAACGCAAGGCATATACTTATTATAAGAAAGCTGTTAAATTAAGTGAGGCTAAAAGATCCAAGAAAAATATTAGTCATAGATTCGAATTAATTAACAGTATCACAGTGGCTATTTGCAAAAAATATTCCGATCAAGATTACTCTCTTGCATTGTATAGTCTTGGACGTTGTTTTTATGATGGTATTGGTGTCGGAAGGAATAGAACAAACGCCTTTTTTTATTACAAAAAATCCGCCAAATTTGGAAATATTGATGCAATAAATTCTGTTGCCGATTGTTATATTGATGGTGTTGGCGTTGAAAAAGATAAACATAAGGGATTTACTTATTATAAAAAAGCCGCTGAAATGGATGATTCCAAAGGAATGTACATGGTCGGTCATTGTTATATGAATGGTATTGGTGTCAAAAAAGATGTAAATAGTGCATTCATCTATTATAGAAGAGCTGCTGAGATGGGTGAACCTAGTGCTATCTTTATCCAGTAAACATAAACAAATATACAACTTTCTATTTGATGTTTTTATGTTAGTTTCTCGCAATAAATAATAAATAAAAATCTGCATTTGCTTACTTTTCGCGCATAATAATTCTATAATTTAAAATCTTCCTTGTGACTCATGATACAAAAGTAAAAACAATACCTGGAACATGTTAACTTTTTAGAGACAATCCAAACAATAAACACAACAGACCCTACGGTTCTGTATTACAATTAGTCGATTATATATTTAGAATCAATTATGTCAATTATGATAAGCAGTTGAAATAAATAACAAATTGGTCCTTTTTTTTCGTAAATCCAGATTTGCACCGCATAAATGCCAAAATGATTGAATTTTCTATCATATAAAGCTATTAATGGATATGTATTTTATAGTTAGAGATGGGTTTCATGCGTGCGCATGATTCCTCAATCGTGCGCATTAATGCGCATTTTATCCCATCTCAATTTTATATAGGAAAATTAAAGCATATTTAATTTAGGTCAAAGTGTATAATGCCAGGCAAAATTAAGAAATAGGAATGCAAAAGTTTTGAAAAATTCCAAAAAGAATATCCGATATTTTCCGGAGGGAAAATATAAAGTCAAAAAAATTATATCATGCGATATCATGCGCATTTTATATAACGTGCGCATTAATGCGCATCCATGCGCATGTTATTATAAAATGCTCATTTTTCCCATCTCTATTTATAGTCAAAAAAATTAAAAATATATGACCGTATGTATAAGATGGATGTTCAGGACTTGATTTTTTACACGCCTGGATCAGCTCGAGAATGAATTCAACAAAAAGGCATCTAACCATTTGAGTAACGTTATATTATTTTCTTAAAAATTTTTATATGGTGCTTCAAAAATTTGAAACTAATGTATTAATAATTCACTCTGTTTTAATGACTATTAGAGAACGTTACTATAGCCTTGACATTCAAATTCAAGTATAAATGTTAAAGTCACACGTAATTTAATATTTTTAATTAAGATTCACAGTAACATAAAAAACTATTTGACATATTAACTATAAGATTATAATGTATCGCTAGATCGGCACTATTTACATAAAAAAATAAAAAAATTATTGCAATTTCAGAGACGAGAATTAATACATTAATTTTAGGCGAAACTAAAAAATTTATGTAATTAAACGTATCAAAAACACCAATTTTATAAAATTTATCTGAATGAGAATATAAAGTTATCCAAATTATATTACACTAGATTTCCAGAAATTTATACTGTGCCTACCGCTTAGTCTGAAATTTATTACAAAATGATATAAAATCGTATAGGATGCTATTGTACTCATAGACATAACCTTTTATTCGGAACGAAAAAATATGGGAAAGATAATCTAAAATCAGCAAGTTTGAGATATGAACGTCCGATTTTCTGTATTTTGTGTTCTGGAGAACAATTTTATGCCTTCAGCTAGGTATTATTATTGTTGACTTTCGTTATAAGAATTGACGGAAAGATTTACAGTGTTTGAGACCTTAGAGCTCTTTGAAGTAGAATGCCAACACTTTGTAGAACACCAATATTATACTGTCTTTGTAGCTGATTATTATTTTGCGGTTGAGCACTAATGTTTGATTTGTAACTGGTTCTTAATATAGATGCTGGTGAAATTAATTTCACCAATTTCACCAATTCACCACCAATTTCACCAATAGTGGTGAAATTATTTCACCACATTTCACCGTATTTCACCAGCATCTATAGTTCTTAACTAAATAATTTTTTTTTTCTTAAAAAAAATATAATAATAAATAAGCATGCACTGGAGTTTTTGTACTTTAGTGTTTGATTAATACCGGAAGTTTAAATTAATAGACCATTTAAAGAATACTATCAAATGTTATTTACTCCCTATAACTTGATGTAGCGAATCAAAAGTAACAGGTGTGACAAAGGACTGCTTATGGTATTTAATTCAAGGAAAATACAATAAGATTAATTTCGTTGGTTTAATAATTTAAGTTCTAATGAATGCTTACGCAAATACATACATAACATTACGTATGATACATTAGATACAGTCAGTATGATAGATACCTGATACAAATGTATGGTTAGATCCAAATACAAAAATTTTTTGATTCTGATTGGATGTCGTAATTTTAAATCATAAACTACCATACAGGTACATACACTATGAATCCGCAAAAAATAAATCTTATATTTATAGTGACATGTGTAAGCACCCACAGAAGTAACGTAATAATAAGCAATTTTGCATAAATATCAACCCAGTATAACTGGGATTTCGGAGTATGTAAAGAAAATAATGCAGGCTGTACTGTAAAAGCACTAAATGCTACAATAAAAATTGTAGAAATGTAGCACGGCGTTTCGGAGTTTAGAGTTAAGATAATCAAATCAAGCTAAAACCTTTACTTTCCCTTTAACTTTAATCTACTATAAAATTTTTGAAATATACTATAAAATTACTTGAAATGATTTTATTGAAAATATTTAGTCGTGTATTTCTAAGATCTTTCATTAATTTCCAGATAAAATTGCTGCATAAAAAAATAAAAATTCCGCATCTATTAAATAAAAGAATGTGAATTGGATATTGCATAAAAAAGTAAGTTGGTCGGAGTTTCGAACTAGGCGTGAGCAAACTCAATCTATGATAATTCTGGATTTAAGAGATAAGTAAATATTTTTTTAAAAAAAAACCATTAAACTATTTGAAGCTTTCGTTCTACAATTTTTAATTTTGGAAATACGACCGATTGTGACTTGAAATTTTTTTGGAATCTCGGATTTGCCCGGTTGACACAATTAATTTATATGGTGGCAAAAAACTTTCAGCCCTCTTCAATTGACATATTTAGCATGTAAAGACTGGCACGATATTGCCAAAAACAGCAATGCAAAGGCATAAATAATTACAGGAGAGCTCTTACCCTTTTTTACGATTGGGTACATCATTTATCTGTCAGTTGCGCAGGCTCTTAATGTGAAATGTGTAGTTTTTTTCGAGAAATTATATTCAATGACAGCTTAACTCCTATGAAAGCTATGATTTAAAATCAATAGAACAGAGCATAATATACCGTATAAAAATGAGTGATCACTTTATCAATAAAAGGGGAAAGAGCAGAATAGAAAAAAAGAATAGAACACACGGAATAACAGTTAACAAAATAATATACTTAATTCTAATGATTATACTTTCCTTAACGTCCAATTATCATTAAATCGAATCCCTTAATAAAACACTCATCCAGTATAACTAATGCAGTGCCTAAAGCTAAAGCCACACATACTCATTTATCACGGACACTATAACTTACGTATATAAACAGTATAGCCGTCAAATACTTCTTTCATTGATTTCTAAATAAGGTGAAAAGGTTGATCAACCAATTAAAGTTATCCAATTTTCGCGCACAGTATGAAACATGGACAACTGTGTAACAATTATATAACTGAGAATGTTATACTGTACGAATTCTTGTAAGATGGATGTTTAGGACTTGATTTTCTTGCTCGTTCTGGATCAGATCGAGGCGAATTTGGCAAAAAGTATTTAGCCATTTGAATTACAGTACAACAATTATAATCTTTTCGCCTATTACCTAAAAAAAAGTTATACTGTAAAAAAAGTTATACTGTAAAAAAAAGTTATACTGTAAAAAAAGTTATACTGTAAAAAAAAGTTATACTGTAAAAAAAAGTTATACTGTAAAAAAAAGTTATACTGTAAAAAAAAGTTATACTGTAATTGGGTACATCGAAAATTTGGAACTGATAAATCAATAACTCTATGTTTTAATAACTTTATAGAAACACGTTAGCCTTGATGTTCAAAGCAAAATTTAATACTTTAAAGATTCACAGTTACACATAAAACCTATTTAACAAATTAAAACACAGGATAGACTTAACAGCTATTAGATTATAGTGTATTGCAATTTTAGAGACGAGAATTAATATATTAATTTTTAAGCACGCCAAAAAGCTTATGCTGTTAACCACTTCAAAATCACAAATTTTGTAAAATTTTATCTAAATGGAATACAGTAGATAAATGGGAATAGAAAATATCCAAATTATATTACACCATATTTCCACAAATCTATACTGCGTCGATCTTTAGCCAGAAATTCCTTACAAAATGATATCGTATAAAGTTGTATAAAATGTTAAGTTATATTTAAATTATTTTATTATATACTCTTAAAGGTAACTTTATATTCAGAACGAAAAACAAACATAAAAAAAATATATTTATACCTAGCCATATTTATGGGAAGGATGATCCTAAAATTAGCAACGTTGAGGGTTGGTCATTCTGTGGTACTTGATTTTCCGCTCCTTGAGTTCTGGTGAATAAAGCTGTGCCTTCAACACCTTGAATTAGGTCAATATATTGTTGAACTTGGTTAAAAGAATCGCGTAGGCCAACAAAATTGTGGTGTCTTTGATTATTATTATTATTATTATTATTATTATTATTATTATTATTATTATTATTATTATTATTATTATTATTATTATTAT